TTTTTTTTTTTTTTTTTTTTTTTTTTTTTTTTTTTTTTTTTTTTTTTTTTGGTGTCTGTGGAAGCCTGTAGAAATATTACTTGGACAGCAAATTAAAGAATTCATAGCAGGAGTAGAAATAAGCCTTTCATATAATTTAAAAGTGGCAAAAATGAATATAGAATATGGGATCACAACGTTTTTGCATGAAACAAATATGGTGTTATAGCTGCTCATAAGATACAAGAATATAATTTTGGTCACCTTGCACAGGATACTGTTTCATAAATACTCCCCCCAGGGCTATAACATAATTTATCCTTGCTGGCACCAATATATTAGATGGGTTTGGAGTAAAGGAGATGCATGTTGATGAAAAATGATCTCTAAGATACATTTAGTTCATACTGGAGAAGTCTGATAGCTCTTACACTCGTAAAAGCTTTGCAGTCCATATCTAGAATATATTTCAGAAGTTTGAAGTGGGTATTTTTTCCAAACAGTTTGCTTATTTGAGAATACTGCTTATGATGAAATGGCACCTAGCTCAGACTATAGGCAGAAACTGTGTTTTATGTACAGCAAAATTAAAGAAAAATGTGCGTAAGGAAGGATGTCGTTTTATCATAACCATCTTTTATTTGTTAATATCCAGTGTAGAAAGGGGCATGTCCTCCTATTTCAGCTTTCATTTGGTCACTCTTGAGAACGTATATGTAGAGCAACAATGCAGCAAAACACTTAGAGATGCCTCCAAGTCGTTTGTTGTAAATATGAGTGCAGTAGGGATGTTGATTGTCTTGATGATTATTTCTAATGAAGGATGTTGCAATAATATAGGCTTTATAGATATTTAACAAATGTGCTTATTTGTAGCTGACAGGCAGCAATTGTTTCACCAATCACCATCATTACTTTAAAAACTGCATTAAGGCATACAAGCAGGCAAGATGTATTTAAATTCACTTTTGATTTAACCTGTGCATTCTGATTACTCAGGTAGTACATGAGAATTGATTCATTTTCAATACAGACAGACCTTCTTTATTACAGCTGTGTTTCTTTATATTGCATGAGCTTTATTATATAGGATGACATGCTAAGATAACCCTACAGCATGTGCTTCTGTAATTATGATTTCTTAATATTTATTGCTGTTTTGGTATTTTAAAATAACCTGAACTTTCATAGGATTTAGCTGTTTAATAAAGTCAGAAGAGAAGGTCAGTCATATGTTTCAGTCAATGCAGAATGTTTGTTGGCTTTTCTAAATGAAAATGGATATCTGTTTATCTTGCCTTAAAGGTCAGGGCCTGAACTTTTAGCATATAGATGTAGGGGTTATTGCTGATATTCTAATGCCATTAAGGCTGTATAACAGTCTAGCTTAATAGCTCACACAAATTAAGATAGTGCAAGACATGACAGTGAGCCTGTGTTTATATATATTTTGGTGTAAACTGATACACAGAAAGTATAAATAAATAAAAATAGTTCTTTGCAGCTAATGAATAAAGAAAATAAGACCATGGATATAACACCCAGAGTGTTAGGACAAACTTTGATCTCATATACACCAGGACACTCCCAGAGTCTTTCTTCTTTGGCTGCAAGGCTTCGAGCCAATGCAACTGAGAGGAATTTAGTCCACCCTTATAAATAATGAATAAGCAATTATACAGCAAATGAGTCTAAGGCTCAGTCTTTGAGCACTTAGTAACTCACAGCATTTAGCCTGATACTCATGAAAGCATTTAAAAGACTCCTTTACATTGGACATTGTATTTCTCGGATTTCATATATAATGGTTTTGACACCGCTGTACTAAGACAAGCCAGAAGGACTCAATCTGTAAATTAACTTCATCTTACCTGGTTGGTCTTAGTACAATACTCATTGCATCATATAATTTCTATCTATAACTACATATTTATCTAGATAAATATCTAATTCTTGAAGTAAAATGTCAAAACTGAGCTCACATTTTTTCAGTTGGTCCTAATTCTACCAAATATTTTACTCAGTTTTTATCTGAGGTATTCAGTGAATCAGGACCACATCT